CCTAAAAATGGCCTCTTATTGTGCTATTACCTGTGATAGTTGTGATATTTCCCATATCAAATTGCCACTCTACCCGCCCACACCCGTATTTCTCTCTATTACGTATGACTAGGAAACTTGAAAAAAAAAAAAAAGTAATTAATTATGATACAATAAATTATACCTAGGTAGAAAATAAGAATGAAATTAAGTAACATCTTGTGCTCAGCCCCAGGAGGTACTGACCGGGTATCTCGTACATAGTGAATACGTAGTCCGAGTACCTGCGCCATACAAACCCCCGGGCGCACCTAACGCCTAACCCTTCCTTTCTCTTTCTCCTCTTCCCCCAACCACCAACTTTGCCAAAAATCACCAACCTATCCACTCTTTCCAGGCTTTGATCTGGGCGAACTCGGTTTGGTCTTTCTCCCTCCTCGTGAATGTGCGCGCCCGCGCTGTTCTTTGGTGATTGATCGGCTGTAAATCATGGCGTCAAATCTCCCAGCGTAAGTTGACCTCCTATCCGATCTGGATCAGATCATCGCTGACATATGAATTGCAGTCAGCCAAATCTCCGGGTCACGAGTAAGAACTACTCTCGAGTTTGGACTCTGCGGGGTTCCGCATCCGTATAAGACTAACCTCTCTATAGTTATCGCGGCCGACGGCTTGTACAAACGTGATGTCTTTCGTATGTTATCTGAATCGAGTGCTGCGGGGTTGAAGCTGACTATCTTTAGGATTCCCCGATCCATTCGCCGTGGCTACTGTTGGAGGAGAGCAAACACATACAACTTCTGTAATCAAGAAGACCCTGAATCCCTATTGGAATGAGCCATTCGACCTGTAAGTGATATGATCCCCCGCTGTCAGGGGAGGGAAAAAAAAGGGCGAACTTTGTTAACCATCTTTACAGGAGAGTCAACGAGGACAGCATTCTTGCGATCCAGATCTTCGACCAGAAGAAATTCAAGAAGAAGGACCAGGGTTTCCTCGGAGTCATCAATGTTCGCATCGGCGATGTCATTGACTTGTCGATGGGTGGTGATGGTACGTCCGAAGAACGCCGATCGCGAGTCATAGAAACGTGGACTGAGCTGACGGCCATGTGCCCCCCACAGAAATGCTTACTCGGGATCTGAAAAAATCGAATGACAACCTCGTGGTCCACGGAAAATTGATCATCAACTTATCGTCAAACCTCACCACCCCGCATCCGAACCAGAATGGACTCCAGCGTCAACAGGCACAGACATCGACTTCCAGCGGCCTTGTGCCCCAGGTTGCAGCATCAACACAGGCTGGCCCGAGCACTCTCGATACACCCCCTGCCGCAGTATCAAGTTCATCATTGAGCCAACGCACTCCGACCACCGCTCCACCGGCCGGCGCTCCTCCCCCGTTGAATGGCGCCCCAACCAACCCCCCTGGACCCGGCGCTCCCTCCCGCGCCAATCTCAGCTCCTTTGAGGACAGCCAAGGTCGACTCCCTGCCGGATACGAACGGCGCGAAGACAACTTGGGACGGACATATTATGTGGACCATAATACGCGTACCACGACATGGTCACGACCAGCGGCCAACTACAACGAGCATACCCAGCGTTCGCAGCGCGAAGCCAACATGCAGCTCGAACGTCGCGCCCACCAGAGCCGAATGCTTCCCGAAGATCGAACTGGCGCCAATTCACCCAACCTGCCAGACGCCCAGCAGATACCGACACCACCTCCCGGGCCTAACGCAGGAACCTCTCTCGCAACTGGAGCCCCCGCCGGGTCTAACGCCGCCGCGATCTCCATGATGGCAACGGGAGCCACCACTGCAGGCACAGGGGAGCTTCCACCAGGCTGGGAACGACGGGTGACGCCGGAGGGACGGCCCTACTTCGTGGACCACAACACGCGCACGACGACATGGGTCGATCCTCGTCGCCAGCAGTATATCCGTATGTATGGTCAGGGACAGACCACGGGTGGCGCGAACAATACCACCATTCAGCAGCAGCCCGTATCCCAATTGGGTCCTCTCCCCAGCGGCTGGGAGATGCGTCTTACCAACACTGCTCGAGTATATTTCGTTGACCACAACACCAAGACGACCACATGGGATGATCCGCGACTCCCCTCCTCCTTGGATCAGGGCGTGCCCCAGTATAAGCGTGACTTCCGCCGCAAGCTGATCTACTTCCGGTCCCAACCCGCGTTGCGCATTATGTCCGGACAGTGCCATGTTAAAGTCCGTCGTAATAACATCTTCGAGGATTCTTATGCCGAGATTATGCGCCAGAGTGCATCCGATCTTAAGAAGCGCCTAATGATCAAGTTTGATGGCGAAGACGGTCTCGATTACGGTGGTCTTTCACGGTATGTTCTATCCTTTTCTCCGGTGTTAATCAAAATTTGCTAACCCTCTCAGTGAATTCTTCTTCCTCCTCTCCCACGAAATGTTCAATCCTTTCTACTGTCTCTTCGAATACTCTGCCCACGATAATTATACCTTGCAGATTAATCCCCACTCGGGCGTGAACCCCGAGCATCTCAATTACTTCAAGTTCATCGGCCGAGTGGTTGGTCTGGCTATCTTCCACCGTCGTTTCCTGGACTCCTTCTTCATTGGGGCCTTCTACAAGATGATGTTGCGGAAGAAGGTCAGTCTTCAAGATATGGAAGGTGTGGATGAGGATCTGCACCGCAATTTGGCATGGACACTGTAAGTTTGATGCATGCAATCTCATTTTGGGGAATCACATTAACACCATGGCAGGGATAATGACATTGACGGAATTGTGGAACTTACATTCTCGGTTGATGATGAGAAGTTTGGTGAGCGTCGCACTATTGATTTGATACCCGGTGGCCGGGATATTCCCGTCACCAACGAGAACAAACCTCAGTACATTGAGTGAGTACCTCCGTCTCTGGCCTGATGAAGCCCCGCTAACCACATCGCAGGTTGGTTACGGAATGGAAGATCATGAAGCGAGTCGAGGAGCAGTTCGATGCCTTCATGTCCGGCTTCAACGAGCTTATCCCCCCGATCTCGTCAACGTCTTCGACGAGCGCGAACTCGAGTTGCTCATCGGTGGTATCGCTGATATCGATGTCGAAGATTGGAAGAAGCACACCGACTACCGTGGCTACCAGGAGCAGGACGAGGTCATCCAGAACTTCTGGAAGATCGTTCGCACCTGGGATGCTGAACAGAAGTCTCGTCTTCTCCAGTTCACCACTGGTACCTCGCGTATCCCTGTCAACGGATTTAAGGATCTGCAGGGATCTGATGGTCCTAGACGGTTTACCATTGAGAAGTCTGGTGATCCCTCCGCGCTGCCCAAGTCGCATACTTGGTATGTATCCAATTCTGGTTCTTGTATTTGGTGTCTCATAGCTAACCTTGCTCTTCCAGCTTCAACCGTCTTGATCTTCCTCCTTACAAGACGCATGATGCCCTCGAGCACAAAATGTCTATCGCGGTGGAGGAAACGCTTGGGTTTGGACAGGAATAGAGAGTCTGTTGCTGTTACCTCTTCTGCCCCTACTGTACTTGGATCTTTCTATCTCTCCCCCTCTTGCAGCGTGCAATGCAGGATTTATTCCCTCTCCTGTTCTGGATTCTTGGTCTTGTTTGTTAAATGTAACCCACTACTCACGAAGCTCTCGTTTTTTTTTACCAGCCAACCAAACCAACTTTCAATTTTTGATTCTCTGCACAGGATTAGGATAGGATCTAGGGCTGGAACATCAAGGTCAAGTCCATTCCGTTCCTCGTCTCCAACTGTCCTTTTTCTTGTTTTGGAGAAGAAATTCACCACATTTCCTTTTCCGTCTTGTCTGCATCCCCATCGACTTGGCTATACATACCCATCCTGGCTCTTCCCACACTCGTTCTGTATTCAATATTCTACGTAGCAAATAAAAGAAATCATTGGACTTCTTGGAAATTTTCACTTGCTCTTATCTTGTTCACTACTGAACCACAGCATCAGTAACTAACTTTAGAGTCATTCTGTTATGGCATTGCGTTACTCTTACATTTGCTATTTGGTTGTGTATCATCCATGTTGTGATCGATAATCTGCTAGTGTCATATGGACGTATGTTGTAGGATTAAGGTCCCCTATAGAGTGCAAATAGTCTAACACCTGGACCACACAATACCTGGATCAATCTGGAAGAACACTGGCCCATATCCTCCCAAAAGGTCACATGTCACGATGTCAATGCTGATAGATGACACAATAGGTTTCCAATTCTCCTTGATGGACCGTAGTGCACTCCGGTACTTGCTAAGATCTTGTTGATGTGTATCCGTTACAAAAAGACATACACACCTACATGTATATTCATAGTATGTAGTAACCTAAGGCAGAGATGAGATGAGTTGAAACAAAGTAACGGAGCAATATCCATATAGATTCTATATGACTACATATAATTCCACCGATCCAGACATCCAAGATACTATAAGAATCACCGTTAAGATCCCCCGTAGGAAATGTTGGACAGATTGGATCCTAGCGGTATACTGCTCTGCAGTGGTATACTGTTAGTGTAGGGCCGTCTGCTACTAGGTTCCATTCCGACCAGCATTTCTCTTTTTTTGTTCTTGTTCTTGTCGCCGTTCGTTTCGCGCACGCTACATTTTCTTTTCCACTGCACATCATATGAGCAGGTCTATTATGCTTGGCCACTAAAGTTCTTCCAGAGCCGCGTCACTCTCTTGTTTCCTCTCTTCTAGTACCTCATTATCTCTACTACCTTACTGTCAAATTTCAAAATCCATACTAGTCTAGCACAACTGAACCGACAATCTCATCCCTCAACAAACTGTCCTGCATTTTGCCCCCCCACTCCGTAGACAACCGCTAGAGTCACCTGAAAGGGCACTGAGGGCTAGGTGTTCATAGGGACACAGTCAAGAGTGGTATCACTATATAGTTTGAGACCGTCGTCTTGATACAGCAACACACACACACACACAATCTCTCTCTCTCACATATCTCCAATATGATCGAAAATCAAATATTCATACTAGCAGCGACAAGCGACAACCCAACAAGCAGGAAAACGTGCACCCCAATTGCTCCAGCACCGCCTTCATCATCCCCAGAACTTGTAGAGGCACCAGCGGAGGCACTCGCGGAGGCACTTGCAGAAGCACCAGCCGTCTCAGCCGGTCCATCGCAGTGCCAATGGTCTCCATGTGGCTCACAGCCAACAGACTCGGTAGGACTGGGAATTGTGGGAGTGACACCCGCAGTGGTGCTCACTTCAGCCTTGCTTGTAGTTGATGTACCAGAGACAGCTGTTGAGGCTGGGCCGTCACAGTGCCTATATGGAAAAGTGTTACTAAACGCTGAATAGTAGATATATCATACGGGATAGAACGAACCAATGGTCTCCGTGTGGCTCGCAGCCAACAGACTCGGTAGGACTAGGCATCGTGGGGGTGACATGCGCAGTGGTGCTCACTTCGACCTCGTCTGCTGTTGATGTACCAGAGACAGCTGTTGAAGCTGGGCCGTCACAGTGCCTATATGGAAAAGTGTTACTAAACGCTGAATAGTAGATATATCATACGGGATAGAACGAACCAATGGTCTCCGTGTGGCTCGCAGCCAACAGACTCGGTAGGACTAGGCATCGTGGGGGTGACATGCGCAGTGGTGCTCACTTCGACCTCGTCTGCTGTTGATGTAACCGAGACAGCTGTTGAGGCTGGACCATCACAATGCCTGTATAAAGTGTTACTAAAGGTGGAGTAATAGACATAGCATACGGGATAGAACAAACCAATGGTCTCCGTGTGGCTCGCAACCAATAGACTCGGTAGGAGATGGACCTGGATCCTGGGCTAAGACTCCGGATGAGACCGAAGTCAGTATAGCAATGAAATAGATGGATAATCTCATTTTGGCGAGGGAGTTCAGGGCTCTGTAGAACGAAGGGAAATGTTCTGAAATCAGGGATCTGTCGCACAGGGTCCGCACCTGAATTTATACCTGCTAGCCCGCTGAGACAGTAGTACTAGCGAGGCCAAGAAAAGTGGAAGTCTTGGTGCCCCAAAGGTTCCCAGCTTGGCGGATGGTGTTTTGTCGTATTGGGCAATTTATGCATTGGCCTCCGACTGGATGGTCCCATGTGGGTAAATGTGTTTTATTAATGAAAGCTGTGCCTTTTCTTGGATCTTTCTTGGTTAGCTTGGGCCAATGTCTAGGTTGGACCGGATAGTCCCTGCCGATCCCAACTTGCCAAGAGCGTTGATACTTTATTCTCCGAGCGATACGATTCCTTCTTTGTGTAAATTTTGCGTCTAGGAGAGAAGTCAATTCTTCGTGTAGTTAGACTCGGTGGGCATCATAAGATATTATGTTGGCCCAGAAAAGGCGCAGGTGGCTCATAGCCGTTGAATGCGGATGAAATTCTAGTAATAAACAGATACTTTGATTTTTCATAGAAGCTAGCAAAATACGAAATGAGACTTGTTCCTGTTCTAGCGCTTAACGGCCTCCCAATACTGCGCCTGATATGCATTCTTATTCAACCCCCGCCCATTTCGACCATAGGCCACCTCCAATCCTCGCACTGGCAAGTCCGGCAATGTGATATTTCCAATTGTGGGATCTGTCTCCTGGAACTCAAACCCCATGCTAACACTTAACGCCACAATCTCGTCTAGTGATAACTGCACAAATGGCGCGGTGCCATACAATAAAGGACCTAGGTTCACCCAACGGCCACCAGGACGAAGTAGTCTGTATATAGTCTCAAGATATGAGACTAGGTTCCGCGCGGTATCGATAAAAAACAAGGTCACGATTATATCGTATTGACCTGTGTGTTCTGTGAATACCGTAGTGAAATCTCCCTCCATGAGCAAGACAGATGATGGATGGATAACTTGGTTTGGAAACGTAACGGAGCGCTGGAGATCTTCGGTCGTCGCGTGGTGAGACCACCAGTCGATATATGGGTGAAACGATACACCGTTGGAGACGGAGAGACTGGATACATAACGGTATGCCAGATTCATGTATGTTGACCATTCATTCATAGTGACATCAAAGCCTAACGCCTCTGATCAACCAATGAAAGGCTCCCAGATAGGAAATTATGGACTCACCTCCAAGCTTGTCGACTTCATGCGCAAGTCTTCCCAATCCCGACCCAGGCAACAGCACTCGCAGCGGTCTATCTTTCGTTCGTGGCGTCTGGGCGAGCGAGTTCAAAATACAATCAAAGGATTGTTGACGCTCTTCATAACCCTCATCTGCCCAGTCACGCACAAAATGCTTCATTCCCTGGGAGACGCTAGTCCTATCAGCGGGCCGCTGCTGACTTTCGCTTTCTTTGATGAATTCGTCCAGCTCAGATTGACTGATATTATAGAATGAAAGACCGTAATCAACAATAGATCTGGCGAGTTCGTCATTTGTCTCGCGCAGATGTTCTATTGTGTTGATTTTCCGTGTGTAGTGGATTGTTGACTCGAGCAACTAGGCCAGTCAGCCAAACCTACTTAACACCCAAAAAGAAGAAGAGAAAAGAAAAGTACGAAAGAAAGAAATACCATACCGCTCGGTGCCGCTTGGGAACGTTTTTATAAAGATTTCTCCATCGATCTACCTCTGCTAGGCTTTTGTCTTTGTAGCAGGTATACCCATACAGGGCAGTTAAAAGTCGATGTCGAGGGTGGGCAGAGTTCCATTTCCCACTGGATCGCTCCAGATTCTGCATTAGACGTGTGTGTTCTTCATTGTGTGTAGACAATGGCACTGGGTAGCGAAATGTAGTAGGATTGTAAGCTTCAACATTGTGGGAGATGCCCTATAGGATGTTAGTTCTGATAGTGTCAGTTTCCTATTGATCTGACCTTAATCCACGGCGAGAGATGAATGGCAAATTCCACCCATGCCATGCATGTGAATATGAGGAATAGCTCACGCAGCATATCGGCATTGGAGAAAAAAAAAGCAATTGGATGGAAATATATCGCTTTGGTAAACTTTATGGGGAGTAACTGCCAAGCCCTATCCTCTCAAGGTCCTCGATGCCAAGGAACTATCGAGGTTCCAGACATGGCACAACAGCGTTGAGGGATTTGCTGAGATAAATTAGCATGGGTTTTCGAGGAATGAAAGTCGTGCCATCTGCCGACCGGTCCCTTATCGAATTCGTCAAGGTAACAGCATCGAGGATTGACATTGAAACCCTTCTAGATCATTTTAACCATCTGAAACTCACGGAAACTTTGGCAAGCCCACCAAAACTCGGTAGGTGTGCTGCACCGAATAGCAAATTGTAGAATTAGGTATCTTTTGTATGGCAACTCCGTATGAAAAGGCACATAAACACAACGTATGGAGTCACCACCGGCCAGGAGAAGAACGATGCTGGCCTCATAGGCATCACATCATCACCACTCTCCTCTCCAAACTATCAATATAGGGTGGAAGAAGGCCATGGTCTCGGTTATGTTCGTCTTGTTCGCCCTTTGGGTATTTAGTTTGGGGTTTGGGCTGTTATTCAAATTGTACCCAGCTTTACAATTTGCTATCCGGTGTAATGATGCTGGATAGATCGAGTCTACCAGTGAGAATCTGAAATTGTGATGTATAGCTAAAGACTTTTGTTCATTGTGCTTCTCATATAAGCCTAGAAACTGAGGAATAACTATATAACATGAACATCCTGAAGAGTTGGGCATATTGATGAATGATATGCAGAAATGAAAATGAAAATTGGCTAAATGACAAGTCTGGGCCAATTCTGATATATATGAGAAAGGTCAAAACTGAAAATGTACTCGGTTATAAGCAATATGTTACCTCAAATATGATACTGTCCACTTTTTCTTACTGACATAGGCCCATGCATGTACATCAGTTAAACTTACCAATGAAATCTTCAAATAGAATTGCAAATTTTGTGCATAATCCAGGGAGGCTCTCCTCTCAAGGAGAGCTGGATCAGTCTTGGTTGTGCTGTGCATTCAGCTAATCGGGTCATCACCTCGCTTGGCTGTCTCGGCGCTTGACAGCGGGCTTGGGCTCTGGCAGGTATCTTGCTGTAACCGATAAGCCCGAAGCAAGTATGACCATGAGTACCCAGATGGCATGCCCCCCAGCCAGCTGTGTCCTTGCCCCAAGAGCGAAGAGGCTGGTAAAGAGGGCAGGGCAGAAGGCCCTCAGCGCACAGGAACCAGTCAGGGCCAGCGCATTCAGCGTGCCCAATACCCTCGGCGATGGTGCAACATCGTTCAGGGCGAGCTGGATCGCTGTGTAGCTCATGCTGACTCCGCAGCCGATCGCCAGCCCGATCGGCAAGAAAATCCAAAAGGCTTTGACGGACGCATCCGTGCCCATCCGCAGAAGTATATTGCCAAGAGGACAGCATATGTAGAATGACGGAAACATAAAAGCGCAGAGACGTATCACTCCATTGGTTCCTATCCTATTCTGCAATGGGGGGAACACCAGGATGAGCCATGTAGCTTGTGCGGCACCATTTAGACCCATCATCAACGAAATTTGTAGAGTCGTAAAGTTATACCCTCCGAGGTGTACGGGAGTGAACCAAAAGACGGGAATTATTGCTGTGTAAGAGAATGCGAGGATCATGATATGCGCGTATGAATATAGGACCATACCAACTCCTGGCGATTTGAGAAGCTGCCATGTCGATAGGTCACCACTCTGAGTCGGCTCATCGCATGCCGCCTCCTCGCCATCACGGTCCACCACAACCGGCTCCTTCTTCAACGTCTCATCAACGAATAAGGCGCTAGACACGGCAGCGGTGGCTCCCACCAACGCCACCACAAAGCTTGAGAGCGCGTAGGGATATTTTTCGAAGAAGCCGCCACCCCCAAAAGCGCCAGGGTAATGTCGCACCGGGTCAGAAAGGGCACCGCCCAATAAAGGTCCCAGGAAGATTCCCAGATTCCCACTGAAGGCGAACCAGCTGAACGCCCGGGCCTGGGTACTGGGCGTGCTATGCTCGGCCACCATAGTTCGGATAGTGACGATGGTCCCAGCAAAGACGCCAGCAATACATCTGAACAAGATCATCTGTGGTATGCTTTTTGCCAGGCCAAAGAGACCTGTCGCCGCGGTCACGCCGAACAGGGAGAAAACCAGGACCGGCTTACGGCCGATGCGGTCGGCTGCTCGACCCCATAATATCATGACAATGGCCTGTGTTAGGGAGAACATTGATTCGATGAGTCCGCTGTAGAAGCCGATATCCGTGTCTGGTACGTTCCCGTTGTCCTGCACCATCTGGCTGACATAGGGGAAGATGGAGAAGAAGGCCAGGGGTTCGACAGCGCGCGCATAGCAGAGTAGGAAGATCTGCAGCTTGGGCAAGGGCTTTTCCACCTCATCGCTATCGATGGCTGACCCTGACGAATTGTCCAGAGTGTCTGTACTGTCATTATACCTGACCTTGCTGGACCCTATGAGGGCTGTAGTCTCATCTACATCCCTTTTCCCGTTTACAGGCTGTCTGTCTGTCTTTGTCACGGCCATCTCTAGGAGAGCTGTGGCGTGTCGGGGTAAGCTTGGGGGGCCCGGCGGTTTGGGGTTTGGGGGAGTTTGGGGACAAATATATTCATCCTCACCGCTTTCGTGTGGGATCGTAACGCGGTGTCCTAAAGAGGTTACTACATCTACTACATGCATATATGATGAGAGTAGAGACTGAATATATTGTAACAATTGTTATCATTGAGCCAAGAAGTTGTTAATTTCTTCCTATTTAACTAGATATATGGACTTTTTAGACCATGTCACACAGCTCCTTCGCCGAACAATTACACGGCCCATAACAACCCTTCTATACAAATTGCCTTAGTGCAAGATGTACATGGTACATGTGTAATATCCAATCACTCATTTTTGCTCTTTGATTACTCACAGCATCCCAATATGACTGGTCGGTGTGACTTCCCAATATCCCCGTGTCAGACTAATTTAGATGACTCACTTAACGCTCAACCCGATTGAACAATTATAACTCAGATTCATGCAATAACTCTTACAGCTTGGAACTACAAAAAAGCAAACATGAGTCAAGGCCATGTTATCATCATCGGGTGAGAGCCACGTCTACCCTCTTGTTTCTGTCTATTAACAGTAATTCAACAGAGCCGGCGTCATCGGTCTCAGCATCGCAGTCAAACTATCCAAATACATGAAAATTACCGTCATTGCAAGGGAGTTACCCGGAGACGTTGGAATTGACTACGCCTCTCCATGGGCAGGGGCACACTTCCGCCCCACCCCGGCAAAGACCGAGGAGGAACAACAAGAACAGGCCTGGATGCGACACACCTACCAAGAATTCGAAAAGATCGCGAAAGACTACCCAGAAGCGGGCGTGGATTTTATTCCCGCAGTCGAATATTTCGATACCGCCGACGCGACCTCCTTCCTAGCAGAAGAAAATGGCTACACCACATGGCCGGACTTTCGTATTCTAGACCCTGCAGAATATCGCTCTCAACATCCATCTATCCAACTAGGTGTCACCTACCGCAGCTGGGTCCTAAACTCGCCGGTTTACTTGAAGTGGTTACAGACGCGGGCAGAGGCGCAAGGGACTCGGTTCATTCGAGCCCATTTGACGGACCCAAAACAGGCTGTGTCTGTCTATCTGGAGAATAAATCCCAGGATGAGACCGGTTATATCTCGGCTGTTGTCGATGCAAGTGGGAGGGGGTTTAATGATCCCAACTCTTTCCCTTCACGGGGTCAGTTCATCGTCGTCTCGAATCACTGTGATAAAACTATCAGTCATCATTGGAGTGATGGTTCCTCTACAGTCATCATACCCCGGCCTCTAGGTGGTGGGACTGTCATTGGTGGGACGAAAGAGCCTAATAACTGGTATCGTTTGAGATATTCCCCGAGGTTAGAGTGACGCTAATACTCGCCAGGTCTGAGGATATCGACGATGCTTCGACTGAAGAGATTCTGAAGAGGGTGAGATATCTATGCCCCGAGATGATTGACGAGCAGGCCGATGAACTGGCTTTGACACATGGGTTTGATATCAAGCAAGTCTACGTTGCTCGACGCCCTATGAGACATGGTGGACTCCATTTTGTTTTGGGGTCATCAGTGGCCCATGATGGCAACCGTATCCCGTTGATCTCTTGCTACGGTGCTGGAGCAAATGGGTACAAAATTAGCTGGGCACTGGCAGATGACTTTGACCGGTTCTTTCCTCCTCCTAAATAGTAAAGGTGCTGCGCACAATGAAGCAGATGTCTGCGAGAATACTCGGCCGCTTTAATATTTCCAATATCCAGTTTGCTGAATGGATATTTACCTGGGAGGCTGTATACGAGTCATTGCTGTCACCTTTGTATCAAGGGCGCCATTTTGCATGTCAGTGAAAGTTTTAGTGGCCTCTATTCAACAACTTTCGATAGAGAGATGCGGATAAACCGGCTAGGGGTTCTTGTAACTGTTGGCATGATCACCTACCAACACTCACTATACCTAAAAACTAGAAGCATTCCTCGGTTGCTCTAGCCTGAGTCAAATTCCTATAAGGCGCCCCCACATTATCCATACTTTTCTACGCTATGTTGGATCCTACTATGCAGTACTACATACTGCCTCTCTAGCTCGATATTAGAGCACACTTTACGGTCACTTCCACAAGCTTTACCCTCTCATATTTCTAAAGTCTACTATCACGTTTTTACATTGAATCTGACGGCTCTTGTTGCTCAATAGAGGTGAGGAGTTCACGAGACATTTATTCTGGGCAAATTCCAGGAACTCAGGGTTTAGTAACTCAATACTAGCTGGAATCGTAGAAGATGAAGAAGTGCTTAGCTAATCGTCTTCTTTCCATCTAAAATGGGTCTGGAATGCATCTGGGGATATCTCCTGATACTTTAATAGAGCTCGTAGTAACCGTTGGAATGTTCATCCGATATTAGGCTTTGAGGAATGCCTCAAGGGCAATCTATGCTTATTTTTCTTAAATCTAGGGCTGAAAAGCCTATTAGATCTA